GAACTCTTCGGTGTAGGTGGTTCAGCGAGGCTTGCGTGTCCGTCTCTCCACGTATAGGTGCCGATTGCGGGATGATGAGAAGTAGGGTGGGGTGGATGAGAGGTATGATGCGGGAGAGGTGGCTCGGAAGGATGGTATGTTCGGTATGTGGTTGGTTATGTTGGGGAGGCGAGGGAAATCGACTCTAGGAGGTCAGTGGTGGTGGTGCCCAGAAGACCGAAATCGACCCCAGCTTTATAGCTTCGCATCATGGGCGGATTGGCCTCTCGATTGCTTTGAGGACGAGCACGGATTGCTTTTCGCTATCTATGGCAGTTCTGTCAGTGTGACAATCCTGACCAAACAACCGCACTCGAACGGCCGCGGCATACCACCTCGTGTCCTGCCTGGGATGGCAATTGTCGGTCTCATGGGCGGCCCTCGTCGCTTTTGTCTGTTGCGATATGTTTGTTCACCTATTTGTCCCCGCCACTCCTGCGCAGAGAACTTGCCGTACCAAGTAAATTTTCTTGTCGGCCGTGTATACACCTGTCAGTTGGTCTCACCTCCTTGCTGGATCCGGCTCGGGAGTCGGAGTGCGTCCACCGCACCGTTGCGACGACTCCAAGCGATGCGCCACTCAGTTGAGTATCCCGCACAAATCGTCCGTCAATCTAACATCTGTCATCCCAATTCAATATACGTACCATTTCCTCTTCTGCTGTCGGTTCTCTGCGGCTACTTTGACCATCTCCCATCTAGCGGCATGATAGAACCTCATGCACGTGACTGACTTGATCAGCGGCTAAAGAGTTCGCCACAAAGTCTCACGGTGTTTGATCTTCACGGACTTTGCCCAGCGCAACAAGCGAGAAAGAGTTGATACATCTGAAGGTAGGCGGGCGTGAGTCCTGACATTGCAGGAAGTTGGCTGACGAGCCTTCTGCTACAACTGGGGTTGTTGGGGCGAGCCATACCGACGAAACGGCGAGCTAGGCCCTAGAATCGTAGGGTTGACCTGCTATGGTCTTCGAAAAGGCTGTTAGAGGAACTAGACAGCACAGCTTTTGAGGCGAGAGATGGAGACATACTCGTCGTGGAAAGCTTCAAAGGCTGGCACTTCCGAGTCAGCGCGTGGGATACCATTGCTTCTGTACCGGGACTGCAGTACAGCACCGTCCTAGCGCAATCCGTCATGATTGCATCGTTGACGATGTTTCAGGAAGACCGACGTTTTCAGGGACCAGCGTCCGTGCTTCCAGGATACACCCAATTCGCACTGGTTTCTGCGATCGACCGTGAGAACGGCGGTACATAGTAGGTGGTTTTGTGCGCGAACGGTGTCGGCATCGGCGATAATGACTTTCTTGCCGATTTAGTAAAGCAACTTGACGCAGTGGAAGCGTGCAGGGCTCATAACCCTGAAGTCCCTGGATCGAAACCAGGAGTTGCTATAGCTTCTCATGCCGGCTGCTTTTTTTCCGGACTCTCCGAGCTTACATTAGGGGTAGTCAAAGATGGCGGTTCGGTGGACGATTCGAGGGAACGATTCGGGAGACGATTCGAGAGGGGGGGAATCCGCGATTCTGGCAGAATCGCGTCGAATCGCCGGTGCGAGTCTGGAGGAGCACCGCCCACCCGAATCGCGATTCTCTGCACTCGATTCCCTCAGCCCGACCTCGGATAAGCCCTCTTAAAATAGGTTATATGTCGAAATTTTATTGGGGTTTGTCTTAGCACGTCTTACGAGCGACCATGGCCCTACTGCAAGCTTTCCGCTTCTCTACCTTTATCAGAATTGCTGGTCTACAGATTCCCTCCACCTTGAAATGTCCGATCAGACCGAAAACCCTACTTTCAGAAAGTCTGGCCGTCTCACTTGGCAACCTTCTGCTGGCTCTGGCACGAAGACCGGGAACCAAGTGCGCCGTGTGTCTTGTTGATGAAATGTATATATTTTCTCTGAGGTCCCAAGAGCTGTAACGAAGCATAGTAGGGGGAAGAGCAACGCGGCACACGGAGAGAAACCATCGCGCGAGGATGCATGGATTACCTGATTTTGTTATCACAGACGCCCGAAGGCCTGACCGACTCAAGAATCTACCCTGGAATCGACCCGTAGAAACGTGGGGTGGTCAAAGTGCACACACGAATCCAGGACGATTCCCTTCGACAGAATCGCTGCAGGATCGCTCGACGAAGCGTCCTCCGAACCGCCATCTTTGACTACCCCCGGGCCTAATAGCGCGCTTCAAGTTGTGAGTACTCCAAGATCTGTGAAGCGGATCAGACGAAGTGGAAGCGAACCGTGTACAGTCAATGGGTATCTACATCTACAGAACGGGTATGTACAGACGAGAGCAGAGGGTGAAGCGTCCAAGAAAACCGCTCCAAGGAGGCTCGAAAAGACTCGTACAGACCACATGTATGATTTAACAACACCCTCAAACAATGGGATGTCCTACTTATGCGACACAAACGGACCGCGGGTGAGCGACGCGCTCGAAAATGCAGACCGCTCAGACGTGGAACAAAGGGCCCGGCACCGCAGACACGGCACTTGTGGCACGATGCTGTGACTTTGGAACACGGACGGTCGCAGACCTCGAGACCGTGATGAGCATAGGAATAGCATGCCCAGATGGACGCTCAAGACAAGGCCAGACACACCCAAATGTCGCAGCTTGTGTGAGGAGACGGTCGCAACTGATCGAACAGACGGCGTGCTTGCGTTGGGCAGCTGGGGAGACAAGGGTCGTCTTCAGGTTCGACGACATGGCTCCAAGAAGGCGAACGGAACAAAGCGGGGCGATGCAACGGGCGGTAGCGCGCCAGTAGGGAGGATGATACGGAGATGACGCGACACTCGTTTACCAGGCTGGCGAGGAGGTGGTGGTGAGGAGTGGTGATGATACAGCAGACGGCTGGGTCCGGGATGACCATGGCGGTCTTCAAGCGAGTGCTCAAATGTCGGGATATGAATGAATGAGCAACTAGACCCTGCTGCGCTTGGTGGGACGCGGTAGGTTGCCACCGGGTATATCGTCCATACTTCGCCGCTTCGAGCCAGTGCGCATCGAGTCTGACGGCACCGCAGACTTGGGAGGCACACAACCTCCCTCGGGCTTCTTGTCGGGCCCTTTGTCATTCGGCGGCCACGCCCGCGACTTGAGAGTATTGTAAAAGAGCTTGATGATGGCGGTATGCGTGTCGAGATTCTTTCTTAGCTTCTTGTACTTGTACTCTTCTGATTGGGCCGTCGGAACATCGGGATCGAGGGGATCCTCGCCAAATTCGCTCTCATCGTCACCCTCTTCGTCGAGGAACTCCTCCAAATCCAAATCCTGCACTATGTCAGACTGGTCGGAAACGTTGTCCTTCCGGGACTTCTGCTTCTGGGATTCTGCGGGAGTGTCGAGTGCATAGTACGCCCGGAACCACGTCAGGAGCTCGGATATGATTTCGTTGATAGGATGCTCCTCTTCAGGAGCGGAGTCGTCCGAGTTCAGCGGAGTGAGGTCCGAACCGTCAATAGCACTGAATTGGGGGGAAGGTGAGCGTCCAGAAGGAATGCTGCTGTTCGAAGTCGCAGACGGGCGCTCGGCGGGGGATGGGCTGCTTCGAGGGGAAGGTGAGGGCGACTGTTCCCGGGGACCTGCAGTGGGCGTAGATTTGGCGGGAGGAGCCGACCAAAGGAATCTCAGAGTCTGGCCGCCCTGAATGCTCTTGTATCCTGACACGTCTATGGCGCCGTTCACCATCGCGTTCCGCTTTGCCAAGCCACATCGGTACCCGGCATTGGTCGACAAGTACCCGTCAAAGTATTCATGCAAGAACAGACCAACGTCCTCGTCGCCGAGATTATGAGGGACGAAGCGGATGGCGTAGTAGAGCAGGACGTGGAAGAAAGACTCCAGTTCGTCTTGAATGACGATCCTACGATATGGATCGTTGAGGGCGTGCGCAGACATGTATTGCCAGGTACCCTGCAACGTACCACATCAGCACTCGAAGTCGGAAGCCCTGCACATCACGATACGGAGTACTCACAGTGCGATCCGGCTGACGACCCTCAGGAGATTCGTTGTCTACCTTCTTCGATAGTTCCCAGTCGTTGAGCAGTCCGAACCACTTTCCGTCTTTCCCTTTGTACATCAGCATGTTTCCCGCGCTGATATCGCGATGTATGATCCCAGCTTTGTAAGCTTTCGCGTGCGCTGCATATACAGACGGTGAGCATTTGCACGACTCCTTTACAGCGACACTCACCTTTGATACAGCACAACAAGATTCGACACAGTTGCGAAGAGCTATCCGAGAATGCCTCAAGCGGAAGCCCGACCTCCTTCACCACCACCCGGTAAAGCGAGTGCGTCTTCAAAGGGACTTTCTTTACTTCCGGATGCAACTCCTTCCAGTGTTCCTGCGACTTCGTGACCTGCCCGAGGTCGCCGTGGCACACCAACGTCGGCACGAACGGCACCTTCCGTTGGTTGAGAAACCGTAGTGTTTCCCCTTCCTGCTCGATTTCCGGATGGTCGACACGCCACGCGTCCTTCAGAAACACAAACGTAGCTTCGTCGTCAATTTTGCCTTTATCGTTGACAGGCAAGGCGATGTAGCCACGCGTGAACCGTCCAGCCACACCGGGAGCTTGGAAGTACGGTGCGCCGACAGCGAACTTGTGGATGACGGGCTCCAGGTCGCGTCCCGCGTCATCCTTGCGCTGCTCGTGGACCTCCAGCTTCCACCACGGCCGACGTAACTTGAGCGTATGTCTGAACAATTCACGCACGTAATCGTGCGGATCATCCGAA